GATACCACGTGCCCCAAAAACTGAACTTCCTTCATCCAGAACTCACATTTTGATAACTTGGCGTACAACTCCTTCTCCCTCAGTACGCCAAGTACGATTCTCAAGTGTTCCTCATGTTCGTCCTGGGTTTTGAAGTAGATGAGAATATCATCTATGAAGACGACCACAAACTTGTCCAAGTACGGCCTGAAGATGCGATTCATATATTCCATGAACACTGCTGGGGCGTTCGTTACTCTTAATGGCATCACCACGTACTCATAATGTCCATAACGAGATCTTAACGCTGTCTTCTGGATGTCTTCCTCCTTAACTCTGATTTGATGATATCCAGATCTCAAATCAATTTTCGAGAACACTGTGGCCCCATGTAGTTAATCCAACAAATCATCTATCCTTGGCAATGGGTACTTGTTCTTGATGGTCAGCTTGTTTATTTGCCTGTAATCTATACACAGCCGAGAGCTGCCATCTTTCTTCTTCACCAAGAGTACAGGCGCTCCCAGGGTGATACGCTCGGCCTGATGAACTGCTTATCCATCAATTCTTCAATCTGCATTTTAAGTTCAACCAACTCAGCTGGTGACATCCTATATGGTTAAACGGAGATAGGTGCTGTCGTCGTCACCAAATCAATGGTGAATTCAACTTCACGAGGAGGGGGAAGTCCAGGTATTTCTTCCGGAAAAACGTCCGGGAATTCATCCACAACCGATCGTCCCTTATTGTCACTACTGGACGATCGTTCTTGCTCCAACCTTCCGAATTCCTGATCTTCGTGCGTCATAATCAGGAAACAGCTGGCGCCCTCCATAATGTCTTCTTTCAATTGGCCGAGCGTCACTGATAATTCTTCTTCTTCTTCATCCGGAAAAATTAATTCCTTCTTACCACAGTCTATGAGAATGCGATTGGTAGCCAACCAATCCATTACTAAAATCACTTCTAACTCTTTTAAAGGTAAACAGATCAAGTTCACCTTATAACTACGCCCCTCAACCACAATAGGACATCTAATGCATACGGTAGACGTCCTAATCTCTCCAACCGCTGGGGTTGACACCACCAAGTCTAACTGCATCTCCCTCTCAATTATTCCCAATTTTTCAACACACGCCTTCGAGATGAAGGAGTGAGTCGCCCCAGAATCAAACAGCACACGACAATAAATTCCATACAGCAAGCATTCACCGGTTATAAGGTTACCTGAGCTTGCTGCTTCTGCGCCCGTTATCGCATATACACGCCCAACCGCTTGGGCTCGTCCACCTCTTGGCTGATTCCTCCCAGCATTCGGTGGTTTCATCACTGCCCGTCCTCCCATATTGCACTCGCTCTCCAGATGTCCACTTCTTCTACAACGAGCGCAAAATTTTCCTCCTATCAATTTAGGACATGACGATCGGTAGTGTGGTCCTCCACACTGGAAACAAGTCACGTTTCCTTGTTGCCCAGATTGTCCGGCAATAATTAGTGCTTGAGATCCACTCGTATTTGGACGGGCGTAAGGTATTCTTCTCTGATTAACATTTCCTCTGGAGACGATCGGTCCCCTAACCACCTGTTGTTGCTTCTTATGTTGTTCCGCTTCTGCCATATTCTTCTCCAATACTTTGGCCCTTTCAACCATCGCAGGAAATGAGCGAATACACAGGCTGGAAATTAGCACCTTCAAATCACTCCTCAGCCCATTTTCAAACTTTATGCATTGCCACTCCTCACTGGTAGTCATAGTGTTGAAATGAACCAAGTGCTTAAACTTGTTCGTATATTCAAAAACGGACATTCCACCTTGAACCAGTTGCAGAAACTCCACTTCCTTGGCAAAACGAACGCTGTCAGGGAAGTATTCTTAATAAAACTTGCTCCGGAATACTTCCCTTGTGATGGGATTTTGGGCGTCCGTCAGGATAGATCTCATGCTCGCCCACCAGTGGCTTGCTTCTCCAGTTAGTAGGTATTATGTGAACGCCAACCTGTTCTCATCCGGGCATCTCTTGGCGTTGAAAATCCTCTCCATGTCTCTTAGCCACTGATCTGCCTCATCAGGGAGGCACTACCCACTGAATTTGGCCAGATGGTGTTGTAGAAAACTCTCCAAGCTCCACTCGGTTGGATGGTTAGCGTTGGAAGAGGATGCTCCTGGTGTGCCTCTGGTGGCAGCGATAATTTCCATCAACTACCTCTGGGTCGCCTCAGAGTTGGCGCGAGCGGCCTCCAAACTCTGTAGAGCAGCTGCGTTCTGCTCCATTAATGTAGTGTTTTGTTGTTGTAGTC